ATTTACGCTGCGACTATTGCCGTGACAAACGATTTTATGAACGTTACGATATACGCTACGACAACGATCGCGACAAACGATTCAACGGACGCTACGACACCGTGATAAACAATTCAACGGACGGTACAGCAACTTCTACGACAATCATTTTGATCAAAGCTACGATAATTGTCACTATAACCGCAACCGTTTTGATAATCGCAACGATAACTACTACGACGATCGATACAACAATAGCGGGTACAACGTCCATGGCAATAGCCACGACTCTCATTGTGACCATCATCAAAGCTCTGATCGACGGGATAACTGCTATAGAGGTGATAACCGAACCAACTATCCCCGTCGTGGTCAGCACAGACACAACCCTCAAAATATTAATGGTTTTCCAAAATATTTGTCGAGGCCCAACCATTACAAAAATGACAATAATACTTACAATAGATCTTCTGATTACAAAGATCGTGATTGTGAATACGAACCATGCTATGAACATCGAAGTAATCGATGATGACGACACACAGACCTTAAAGAAATAAATCAATTGCCAAAATAAATAAAATAACATCGATCAACATATTCAACACTTATATAAGACAATTTTTATATTTTCAAATTATATTTTGAGTTTATTTAATTGTTTAATATTTTATATTTATTCAAATAAATTTCTCTTATGTTTACTTATCGAGTTATCACATTTTCAAATAACATAAATTTAACAATATTTGGTTTTACTTAAATTATGACAATTTTTAGTTTTACTTAAAATTATCTTTCGAATTTTATTAATGGTTAATATTTCATGTTTATTCAAAAAATAAATAAATAATAACAAACACGAAAAATTTCCCCTAGATCTACTATACCATTTTATTACATAAAGCTAGTGTTGTTAATCGACTAAATTTAGTCGACTAACAGACGACTAACTAATAGTTTTAGTCGAAATATTCGACTAAAAACTTTACCAACTAAATTAGTCTATTAGTCGACTAAAACGACTAATATAGTCGACTAAAACGACTAATTTAGTCGACTAAAAGAACTAATTAAGTCGACTAAAAGAACTAATTAAGTCGACTAAATTAAGTCGTAATCGTATTTTTGAACTTTTTTTAAATTTTTTAGGTAAAAATATATGTTAAAGATGTAAATATAAAATTTCAGTGAAGATATACCATCAAAGAAAAATATTAATTATCTAAATTGTTATTTTTGAAAAGTAAATAGGTAAAAATATATATTTTAAATGTGTTAAAATAAAATTTCAGTGAAGATGTACCATAGAAAAGTGACAATTGTCATAATCGTTATTTTTTAACTTTTTTGAATTTTTTTAAAGTAAATAGGTAAAAATATATATTGTAAAGATGTTAAAATAAAATTTCAGTGAAGATGTATTATAGAAAAGTGACAATTGTCATAATCGTTATTTTTTAACTTTTTTGAATTTTTTTAAAGTAAATAGGTGAAAATATATATTTGTAAAGATGTTAAAATAAAATTTCAGCGAAGATGTACCATAGAAAAGTGACAATTGTCATATTCGTTATTTTTGAACTTTTTTGAATTTTTTTTAAAGTAAATAGGTAAAAATATATATTGTAAAGATGATAAAATAAAATTTCAGTGAAGATATACCATAGAAAAGTGATAATTGTCATAATCGTTATTTTTTAATTTTTTTAAGTAAATAGGTAAAAATATATATTGTAAAGATGTTAAAATAAAATATCAGTGAAGATGTACCATAGAAAAGTAACAATTGTCATAATCGTTATTTTTTAACTTTTTTAAATTTTTTTAAAGTAAATAAATAAAAATATATATTGTAAATGTTAAAATAAAATTTCAGTGAAGATGTACCATAGAAAAGTGACAATTGTCATAATCGTTATTTTTTAACTTTTGAATTTTTTTAATGTAAATAGGTAAAAATATATATTGTAAAGATGTTAAAATAAAATTTCAGTGAAGATATCCCATAGAAAAGTGACAATTGTCATAATCGTTATTTTTGAACTTTATTAAATTTTTTTAAAGTAAATAGGTAAAAATATATATTGTAAAGATGTTAAAATAAAATTTCAGTGAAGATGTACCATATAAAGTGACTAAAATTTCAGTGAAGATGTACCATAGAAAAGTGACAATTGTCATAATCATTATTTTTTAACTTTTTTAGATTTTTTTAAAGTAAATAGGTAAAAACTATATATTGTAAAGATGTTAAAATAAAATTTCAGTGAAGATGTACCATTCCCCGAATACTATGGTGCCCCCTTGGCCGATTACATAATCCATCAAAGATGAAAAATCAAAAGGATGATTCAGAATTAAAATTTAAAATTATACAGCTACTAGAACATAATAATGGATTGACGATAAAAAATATAGTGGAAAATTTACCACCTCATCTCAAAATGAGTGATTCGGGAGTATCTAGATACCTTAAATCAATGGGATGGAGCAGGAAAAGGGTTGGAAAAGAACCCTATAGACGAAATTCCCGTTATAAATATTCGTAAAGAATATTGCCTAAATATGATGAACGTGCCATTTCAAAATATATTCTATTTAGATGAAACAGGCTTCAATTCCCACGTCATTTCCCACTATGGATGGGCATGGGTAAGAAACCATCCGTCAAACTCCCTCCTTCAAAGGGGAAAAACGTATCGATTTATGCACCATAGGAATTAATGGCTTCAAAAAATACATGATTATAGACGGGGCATTTATATCAATAAAATTCAAAACTTACCTGGATAAATTATCATACTTTTTACCGTTAAATTCGCTAATAATAATGGATAATGCGCCCATTTACCGAGCTCATATAATAAGAGAAAACTATCAAAATATAGTATATCTTCCACCCTATTCCCCTCAATTAAACCCCTTGAGAATTTTTTTGGCGCTTTGAAAAATCAGTAGCTATATATCCCAAACCCAATAACAGAATTCATATAATTGAGGCTATTACTAGCCTATTACTTAATTTCACTAATTTCATTTTTACAGCCTTCTATTCACATACGATACAATATATCGAAGAGGGAATCCGATCTATTCCTTTGAACAATTAATTTAATAAATTATTACACTAGATTATTATATAATATAGATATATTTTTTCGTTTGTGCAATACAAATAGAAAAATAAATATTTTTTGATCTTTTATTATGTAAATAAATTATACATAAATAAAGATTTCACAAGTCATTTTCGAAACTTTAATATAAGAAAGGTAAATTTGATAGAAAATAAAATAAACAATGAAGAAATAAGTTAAAAATGATCATATTAAAAAAGTGTTTATAAAAAGTTTCGGGATAATATTATATTTTATTTATTTTATTATTTTTTTATAATTTTTATTTTTTTAATATTAATTTAATAGTTTATATTTTTATCAATAATTTTTCTCAAAAAAAATAAATAACTTAAAATATTTTTATTCTTATAATTATCGTCTAGCTGGCACCGAAGGGGAGAGGAATAATTTTATTTTTTGGATATAAAATTCATTGTTTTTAAATAATTTTTTTTTGACCAAGACGGGGGGAGGGGTATTTTTAATTTTAGAAAAGATATTAATTTTTAGAATATACTGATATACTAAAAAGATTAATTTTAAGAATAGTATTGTAATTAAAATTTTAAATCAGAGACTTTTAGAGGTACCATTTACTAGGTCCTGCCCGGTTTTTTAAAAAAAATATTTTACCCTGACTAAATAGATCAACTTAGTCGTTTAAATTAGTCGTTTTAGCCGACTAAATTAGTTATTTTAGTCGACTATATTAGTCTTTTTAGTGGACTATATTAGTCGTTTTAGTCGACTAAATTAAGTCGTTTTAGTCGACTAAATTAATCGTTTTAGTCGACAATATTAGTCGTTTTAGTCGACTTAATTAGTCGCTTTAGTCGACTATATTAGTCGTTTTAGTCAACTAAATTAGTCGTTTTAGTCAACTAAATTAGTCGTTTTAGTCGACTATATTAGTCGTCTTAGTCGACTATATTAGTCGTCTTAGTCGACTATATTAGTCGTCTTAGTCGACTATATTAGTCGTTTTAGTCAACTAAATTAGTCGTTTTAGTCAACTAAATTAGTCGTTTTAGTCGACTATATTAGTCGTCTTAGTCGACTATATTAGTCGTCTTAGTCGACTATATTAGTCGTTTTAGTCAACTAAATTAGTCGTTTTAGTCGACTAAATTAGTCGTTTTAGTCGACTAAATTAGTCGACTAATCGCAACAAAAAAGCAATTACGATAAGTGTGTTTTTATATGTGCAATCAATAAAATATGTATCATATCATATGAGTCTTTTACTTAATAAATAAAAATTTGATAACATTAATATTGTGTTTAACCCATCGTTTTAGATATGTTTATAATATGAATAAAGCATTCAAGGGGTTCTGGCCAAAAGCCGTGTAAAAGAGGACAAATAGCCCGCAACTCGGGGCCTATAAAAAAAGGCACTTCAAACTACAGGCGCCGGACAAAGATAATCTAAAAGAGTATGTTTCTTGTCTTTAGGCTGAGCCGGAAATTTTTTTAAAAAAATTCAAAAAAAATTCAATTGTTTCAAAATTTTAAAATTTTAATGAAATCTAACGTTAAATTTTTGAAATTTTAATTATTTTATTTTATTTAAACGATTTATTTTTTTTTTCCATGAAGTTTCAAGATGCGAATTCTATATTTTTCTATTTTGGATATGGTCTTTAAAGAAACAATAAGTTCATATTTTATAAAAAAAAAAATGAATAAATTTAATACCATTTAGAAGAAATATAAATTTATTAATCATTTAATTTTAAAAAATAAAAATATAATAAAAAATACTTAATATATTGATTTTATTGCACTATTTTTATAATGGATAAAATAAAAGTTTATACAGTAGCTAACTAAATTTTTTAAAAAATTTTAATAATAAGTACATATTTTTTTACGGGAAATTTTTATTTCTCATATTTAAAATACATTTCAAACTAGATGTTTTCATTCTTTCATTAAATTTTAAATTATGAATTTTAAAGGGAAGACTCAACAAGTGTTATTAATTGATCTAGTATAATTGATAAGTGGTTTAGAATTAGTATTTAATTTTTATTTAATCATATGTTTATATCTAGACTCAATGAATTAAAATTAACGGAAATGGATATTACTATAATCCTAATTCATTCTAAATTATTGATATGGTAATTCTATGGATTCAAATATTCTTAACTTATTTTATATTATTGATATGGTTATTCTATGGATTCAAAAATTGCAAGATTACTAAATTTATATTTTCTTTTATTCACAATTACAAAATCGGAAAGGGTAAGTTCCACTCATTTTGTTAATTACAACCGTTTTTTAAAATTTATTTTAATCATTGTTTACAAAATTTAATGTACAAGAAAATTATTTTTTTAGCTTGTCCAAAATATAATTCAATAAAATTTCAAAAATTTAACACACGATTTAAAAAAGATCTTGGCCATTGCCTAAGACAATATTCAGTTGAAACTGCTTTATCACAAAGAATATATCATGATTTAAATATTTACCAATTAAATTATATAAACACTACATATATTACAATTAAACACAAGAAATATTTATACAAAAATGCAATTTTTTTTTTCAGTTTTATTTACAATGTTTTTTTTATACCCAATTTATCCTCAACTAGGCCAAACCATATTCATTAATTTATTTATTAACATATCCTAAAAAAAATTCCAATTTAAATTATTGATTAAAATGTAGTTGGTTATATTTATATGTCAAAAATTAGATTAAAATGTAGTTAATTATATTTAATAAATGTCAAAGACCTGCAGGCCCAGCCAGAAAATAATTTAATATTAATATTTAGTTTAAACCTAGGTTAGACTTAAGAATGAAAAAATTATAAATGTTTTACAAAATCTTAATCAGGCCGATTAAAAATTTAATCAATATATCAATTATCAAGCTGAAAAATGTTGGACCATCATACTTTGATTTGCATATATATTTCCAATTTAACTTTGAAATAATTTACAAAATATAGCCTAAATTAAATGACGAAATATTAAAAATGAGGTCTATCATAGACTTAGTCAGGATTTTTTTAAGAGAGAGGGAAGCACTATTAGGATGGTATTTTCCTCATAAAATTCTTATTTTAAGGGATTACACCAATGATAAGTATTATTTATTATTAATAAAAAAAAATATAAGGAAATATTATAATTTACATTACCTAACAATCTATCTATTTTATTTCATCATTAAAAAAATTTAAAAAAAAATGCAAAGTTACCTTAATTTAATCACATATATAATAATTAATTATAAATCTTAAAACTAATATACAAACTTAACCTAAGTTGCAAATTAGCCAACTATAAGAGATTTAGCAAATTTACAAACTAGCTAGCTAGAATACCAACTAGTTAAATATTAGCTTTGTTAAAAATATATTAGATTTTATATTTTATTTTATTATTATCTTTTAATGCTGACAGTCAGGATGGATTTGGTTTTGGGAAGACTCAATGTGTTCTAAAAAATGTTATGAGAAACAAATTTGTTATGTGAGGTAAATTTTTTTAGAAAAAAATAAAGGATCTATATCAAAAAATGTATATAATGCTAAGAGATGCAAATTAGTATGCCAAAGCATTGTATTAGCATCAAATGTAATCGGGGGTAGGGGTTTATTAAAATAGACCAAAAGAAAGAAGAAAAAAAAACTGGCTCATTAAGAAAATCGTTTTAAAAAAAACTCAAAAATTGGAAATATAAGATCAGGTAAAAATTAAGATATACCAGGTTATTTAAAAAAATCAGGATAAATTTGTTTTAGAAAATAATAAAATCAAAAATCGGTATATTAAAGTGTATGGTAAAAGAGAAAATGGAAAATTGCCCCAAAACTTGGAAACAAAAAATAGTTAGATTGTATATTGGCTAACGAGTTTGTAAATTCGTTAAATAATTTGTATAAAGTTTGTAATCTAACTAAGACTCCAAATAGTTTGCATACTACTTTGTAAACTACCTTTCTATTATATAAAAAAAGGATTGACTGTTACATTTACAAGAGATCACCTTAGTTATTTAATTTTTTAAAATAGAAATTTAGTTTGACTTATTATTATTATTATTACGATATTCAAGGAAATAAATTTACCTATTTCGATAACCTCTTCCCCTGTTAATATAAATAAAAACAAAACAAAACAAAATTAAAAAGTTCATTTCACTTAATAAGATGCTTAAGAATATAATTAATTAACTAAACTCTAAAGTAATCGGAATAAATAAAATGGTATTTTTTTTTATTTGAAATATCCATTTATTTCTTAATGACATTTTGTATTGAAGATTTAAAATATTTTTACGAAAAATTCACATTAAAAACTAGTTTTAATATGCCAAATATATTAAATTGTGGCAGATGCTATACGGAGCACTACACTAACCTATATCTATAATTTTATGAAATATATTATTTTTACTAATTTGATCAATCTCTTTAGCTGTAGATAATCAAAAAAGAGGATAAAAAATTAAGAAATTATAATTATAAGTAAATTTTCCTTTGAAAAATTAGAATTGAATTTTACATGAATACCTATAAAAACTTTAAAATAGTTCTTTTTGTGATTTTAAGATTATACAAGAAAAAAAAGTTTAAAGAATAACGAGATATTTTAATATTGTATAGGTACATAATTAATTTATAGAAAACAAATTGTCAAAAGAAATGTAGTTAAATTAATGAAAACTTGGGCTTTTAAAGTTGCCACTATATTCATTACTGATTGCAACTTTTTAAGAAAGTTATTAATAGTCCTAAATAATCCTCGTTTCAAAAGATAATTTTAATATGAAATTTAGATTTTTTGGGGGGTAAAAAATAAGATTTAAAAGGGAAAAATTTGTAATAAGTCTTTTAAGTGCCGGTAATAATGATAGACTTCTTGTTGGAACAATTCGTAGAAGTTCTGACCATTCAATATCGGGAATCCATATTTTTTCTAAAATAGATAATAAATTGTGAATCTAATAAATTCGGCATAACATTTTATAGCATTATTTCTATGTCTATTGATAATGAAGCATGCTTCCTTTCTTGGGTAACAGTTTCATTCAAAAAGCAATTTCTTAATTACAATATTGAAAATAATAATCTAAGACATTAAAATAAATCATCTGAAAATAATATATTAAAAAAATAATATAACACATTAAAATTAATTATCTCAAAAAAAAAAAAATTAAAAAAAAAAAAATAAATCTCAAAAATATATTATATTTAAAAAATAATAAAAATAAATCATCTCCAAAAAAATATAACAGTTAAATAAAATATTGCCGAAACTATAACACATTGCTGAAAAAAATCAGCCAATATATTGTAGCCGAAAATAACACATTGACGGTAAGATTTATATATATTTTTAGTATTTTTTTGAGTAACGTGTAACGCGTTACATTTTTTTAATATCAAGTAGAGCTTTCATTTTTTTTCACAAGTTAACGAGTAATGAATGATAGGGCATTCCTTATTTTAAAAGTAACTAGAATTGGTTTCTTTTTTATAGTAACGTTTTCAGTAATAAATAAATCCGATTGAAAATGTTGGTGAAAAATATTATGGGTTATTCCATAATTAAAGAAAAGGTTTTAGTATCGAAAGAAAGGAAATTTTTATAATGTATTTTAAATTATACCTTGGTCTTTTTCGGCTAAAAAAAATAAAAATAAGGTTGGGTCGGGCAAGCATAAAAAATTTTCAGGGAGGGAAGGAATCTTAGCAGACAGGTTCTAGCAAATCTGATTTTTAGTAAAATTTTAAAAGGCCAGCTAGGGCATTTGATATATATTTTTGTATTTCAAGCTTATATATTGATAATTTGAAAATAAATTAAAATGCCCTTTATTTCTTTCTCTTTTAAGAGCCATTTAACTGAAATGCTAAATCTATAAAGGATGATGCAGTAAATTCACAAATAAAAATAAACGATACAATATTATATGATATAATTTTAAATGCGCAATACAGATGATACAAACACAAATTATTTAAACCTTAATTGACATTGGGGAATAAATAGATATAAATACTAGAAATATGATGCTAAATAAATTCGTATAAAAAAAATTAATGAGCCAAAGGGAACTTTTAGTAGAATCATAATGGGCAGAGTTTGAATTTTTAACCCAATATTTTAGTCAAAAAAATATACGAAAGGCTTAAGATTTTGCTTATAGATGGCAGAAAGGTTAGGGAATCTATTAAAGAAATCTATTTTTTTAAAAAAAAAATCTAAAGTGATAAGGAAAATATAAATCTAAAATGAGGATTTTGTTTGAATATTAATTATTTTTGCTAAAGGATATTATTGATAGGAAAATTTAGGGCTCGTACTAGAACAAGGTTATATAAATGGGAAATTTATTTAACTTAAAAAAAAGGTTAATAATTATAAAATCATATTTTTTTCACATACCATTTAATTGACAGAATATCAGCACCAACACGAGAAGAGTATTTATCAATTTAGTCATATTTTGATTCCAAAATATTTCTAAAAATTTTTAAATTATAAAATTTATGAATAAATAATCAAATTTTTGTAAATATTTCTGAGAAATTTGTTTATTTACAAATATAAATATAACTTATTAAGTTGATTCTTTATCTACATGCCAAAGTAAATAGTAAATATTTCGTTTGCATAAAAAAAAAATTAAGAAAAGCACGATTTAATAGTGATTAGTGATTAAAATAATAGTTAAATGTAAGCAATAAAATATAATTATTTATAATAGAGGGTCTGTAATGGGCGAATTTTTAGCCTTCCCACTAATTGTTTGTTTCTAAAGTATTTTAAATATTGGGCAGAGGGCGGGAGGGTTATAAAATATTTTTAAGGATAAGCGAAAGGCGCAAGAATTTTAAATATTTTTCGGGCCAAGTCAGCAAAATATATTTCATAATATTGTATATTTTGTAAATTATATTAAAGGAGAAGAACTAAACAAGCCATAAAAATAATTCTTAAGCATTGGCGGGCTGGTTAAACAAAATATTGAGGAAAATTGGCGGGCATTTGGGTGAAACAAAAAACCATGTGTGGGCTGTCGGGATTGAAAAGTAAATTAAAAAATTTCTGAAAAATTATCAAATATTTGTAAATAAATTTTTTTTTCTCGAGAAATTTGTTAATTTAGAAATATAAAAATACTTATACTTATTAAATTTTCCTCTATCTACATGTTGAAGTAAATAGTAATTAATTTGTTTGCTTAATATAAAAATTGAAAAAAGAAAAACACGATTTAATAGTGATTAGTGATTATAAAATGATAATTAAATGTAAATAATAAAATAAATTTTTAGCCTTTTTCCAATTCTCTGTTTCTAAGATATTTTTAAAGAATTGGGTGGGCGATGGGCTATAGAAATTTTAAACATTTTTAGGGCTAAGTGAACAAATAAGACTTTTATTTATTAAAAATCTTTTTTTTTATAATTTGTATATTTTGCAAGTTGTATTAAAAATACTTTTTCAAAAAAGCACTAGTTGACGAGCAGGTTAAACAAAGAGGTAAATAGGCGGGCATATGGGTGATAAAAAAATTCATGTGTGCGGGGGGGGGGGGGCAGGAGTTAAAAAATTTAAATGAGTGGACGGGCCTGTTTTAAGGCCCGCTCATTACTGACCCCTAATTTATACTTTTTGATTTTACTGCAATTTGCTGAAACAAGATATTTTATTTTACGATATTAAAAGGGCCTCTCTTTTATTTCTATATTCCTAACTATGGGATATAGGAACAAAGGGTCATCATCTCCTTTCACTTCATACCCGAAACTAAAAGACATAACTTAATAAATTTTATACCCCAAATATTTAATATTATTAACTCTCAATGATTTCATTTGTCTTTTAACTAGAAACACAGTTCACATTTAAATAACTCTTCTTTTTTTTTAATTTGTTTTTTATTAAAGATATTCGAGCTTCTTGCCTGATTGCATCTAATCTTTATTAGCCTTTATATACTGATTTTATAATATTTTATCTTTTTTAGATTCCTCTATAACAATTTAAAAAAATCGTTAAATAAATTTAACCTTATCTGAACCTCTTCCTAATTATCCCTTAATTCGATAGAGTATGGTTTTATTTCCTATCTTCCTAAATAATTCCCGTGAACATTTAAATAGCGAACTCGTCATATGCGTACAGGTTGCGGCCTGCTCAAAAAAAAGATGACCCTCCTCAATTATTTCACTTAAATTGTTCCCAATTGACGCGTTTTTGAGAGAACCAAACGTATCTTTCAGGGACGTCATTAGTCAATTTTTCATCAAAATTACCAATTTTGAAAATGGATTGGCACCCTATTTTTAATAAATTTACGCCAAAATTGTTGGCACCAATCTAAATAAAATAGCTTAATATTATATACTTTATTACGAAATTTTAGCTCTTATTTTAAATAAATATTATTTTCCTTGTGGCATTATATAATTTTATTATTATTTCCTTCTTACCTTAAGCAAAACAAAATAAGGAAAAATGAAAATATATTATATAAATAGCGGTAATAAAAAGAGAGGACGATCTAGGGTATGCATAATTAATAGTTTCGAAGCAGCTGGCCTACCGGGATGTTCCCCTCCTTTTGTTTGCAAATGGAAGGTAAAGGGGGTGTCAACAGGAATTCGAGATCTCCATAGAGCTAATCTCGGTGTGACGAATCATACACGGGAGAGTGAGCGATAACAATAGGGTTTGTTAATAAGCAACTCGGAAAATGAAAAATGAAAGCTTTTAGACTGTGGTTAATTAAGGATTTTCTTTTATTGATCATGCGGGTAAAGCATTTGAGTTAATTTTATATTTGTGTATGTATTATTTTGATTAACAATACATATATTATATTAATAATAAAGTAGAAGATATAAATCTATAACCATAAACCAGGCCCCATAAATATATGAACAGGGTAAAAAATTTAGACAAAAATAAATAAATTAGTACCTTTGAGCATTTTTTTTAAATTTAGACTTGCTTTCTCTGTACGTATATATATATATATATGTATATATAAATTCTTCAAATATTGCACCCTGTTTTATTTCTTTATATATGTTAGCATCATGTGTTTTTCCGATAATGCGTTATTTCTTTTAACTTTAAATATTTTTTTGATAGCTTTGTTTATAAATTTTAAAATTTAATTTTACCTGAATGTATTCCCTCATATTTGGAATATCTAAAACCTATGAATATCAGAATTTCCTATGAACTTTTGAACTTAATATAATTTATATTAGTTTTTCTATAGGTTTTTTATAAAAATTTAAAATGACTCAAAGGTTAACGGAAAAATTGTCTACAATTTATAAAATAGGTACCCTAAGCATGTTGGAATATATTTATGGAAAAATAATATTATTAAATTTTTTAAAAAAACGTGCTTAAAAAATGATTTAAAATTGAAAAAATAATCACATTACCGGAAAAAACACATTGACGCTAGCTAACATATATATTAGTTTTATAGGAGCTCATTAGTTTTTCAAACCACTGCAGGAAAGGATGTAATAAAGCTTGAAAATTTGAAACACAAAAAAGGGAAACAGGAAATATTTTTAATAACTAACGAAATGAGCAAATTATTGCGAGTGATAATGAAAAATTTACATTAAAATATTAGTGAATTATATTTAATGAATGTAATAATAAGAATTTTGCAATAAAATGTTGGTAGATTATATTTTTCATATTAATTATAATAGTAATAAAATATATAAAAACAGAAAAAAACTTGTTTGTCTTTTTTTTCGAAAGACCCATGTTTTGTATGAGGACGATTATCAAAATAAAATGATAATTAGAAATTTATCTGTGATAAAGGAAAAAGCAATTAGTTCCCTTTTAATATATTAATATTACTAAAAATACGTTTAATTCTTACTTTTTTTTAAACCAAAAATATCTGACCGGGTTGAAATAAAAGATTTAATAATATAATTGAAAATTTTGATTGAGAACCGAATCTAATTTTTAAAAAACGTTGTCCAACCAACCGCGTACAATTAACAATTTTAAAACATTCAGATCCGGTCCAATCAGAACTCGGCGGAAGGAATTCAATTTTTTATAAACGAGGTTTGTTTAAAAGAAAAGTTTTTAAGCATTTTATAAGTAAAAAAAAAATAATAATTGCTGCTCAATTTTACATCAATTTTATGCGCTCTCTCACGATGTTTAGATCTTAAAATATTTTATCTAGCTAAAGAATAGCAACTAAATATCTATCATTTAAAAAAAAAAACAAATTTGCGATTAGTAGGCAGACACATTTAACGATTTTTATTAATCTTTTTTTTTCTATAAATTTAAAGGGTAAATTAGGGTTATTTTTCCTTGTTTAATAATTTATCAAAAACGCAATGAATTCGCTAATGATGATTGCCCATTATTATCGCCCTCCTTGCATGATATGTTGGCAATTTCCGATTTAAAGGGTTCTATCATGGGATAAATTTCGTGCTTCAAGAATTTTTCGACCTGTTGTGTGGTTAGTGTTGAAGAATAAAATACAATTTATATTATTATTCATTTTATATAAAAAAAAATAACAGAGTAGGGGAGACTGGGGTTAGTTGAAACGATTTTTGCAAAATCAGAACTCCTTGTTTTTTTTAGATATTATAGAGAACAATATATGAATTACCTATATAACTATAATCTATAAAGGTGCCTTACAAATATTTTTAAGAATATAATCATATTTTAAAAAACTTATTTTTTTGCAAAAGTTTAAATTTTGCCCAACAAGCCCCAAAAGCGGGGTAAATGACTGCAAGGGGCTTCCTTAACCTTTAGTTTTTTAGATTATAATAAATGCATTTTTATTTATTAATAATGATAAGCATGGAATAATTTTATTATTTTATTGTTCAAATACTTTTAAATTGAAATTTATTTATATATAAAAATTGTCCTTAGATTTGGTTAATTTAATAAACATTTTGGACATATAAAAATAAGGATTTTAAGGAGAGATTAAGATTTTGATTTCTTGGCATAAATCCCAAATATCAAATATACATAGCTATAACCAAGAAATTTTTTTCCCAAGATTTTTAAATATTTTTATATTAACTGCCATAATTGACGTGTATGGTTTAGCAGGCCACTCTAGATTGATTAATCAGGATTGAAATAATATCTAGACAAACTAAATATATATAAAACTTTCTCAAATTATAAAAGAAGGTTAAAACTTTGCTATAATTTATTATATAACTTAATAAACAAAACCTTGTACAACCAATAACAAAACAAGAAATAATCACATGCCTCAAGCATATCAAAAACAACAAAGCTAAGGGTCCAGATGATATTCCAATAGAAAGCCTTGAAGCACTATGAGATGATGGAATACATCTCTTCACAAATCTGTAAAATAAAATACTGGGAAATGAAGAGATCCCTCAAAAAATGGAGGCAGAGCTATCTAGTTCCTTTCTTCAAAAATAAAGGGGATCTACATAATTGTCAAAATTACAGGGGAATAAAACTAATGTCACACTGTCTTAAACTCTACGAAAAAATAATAGAAAAAAGGTTAATAGACATAATCGAAATAGGAGACTCAGTTTGGTTTTATGCCTGGAAGATCAACAACTGATGCAATCCACGCAATTAGGCAAATGAGCGAAAAATAAAAGGAAAGAAACAAAAAGCTTCACATGGTCTTTCTCGATCTAGAAAAGGCCTTGGATAGAATATCAAGAAAACTTATCTGGTGGGCGCTACGCTACAAAAAGGTTCCCAAAAAATATATAAGAATAATACAGGATATGTATATGGGCCATACAATGGTCCGTAGCACAACTGGTACTTCAACAGGCTTCACACTAGCCGAGAGAGTTCATCAAGGGTCGGCTCTCAGCTCACTTCTCTTCATAACAGTAATAGATGTATTAGCACAGTCTATACCACAAACAGTCCGGTGGAATATGATATTTGCAGATTATATTGTGATACTTGCCGAATCCAAGGATGAAATGAAAGAAAAATTAGTGAGCTGGATAAATATCCTAGAAAAGCATGAACCAAAAGTAAATAGAGAAAAGTCGGAGTATATGGTGATAGGAGGAGATGAAACAGAGAGCATTGATATAAATGAATGGCAGATATCGGCAATTGAAAGCTGCGAATATTTGAGCTCCGCTATACAAAACGGCACAATAGAGAAAGAGATAAAGAGTAAAATTAATCAAGGGTGGTTAAAGTGGAGATCTTTATCTGGAGTACTCTTTGACAAAAGAATCCCACACAAATTGAAGGGAAAAATATACAGTTCCATAGTACAACCAACTATTCTATATAGTTCGGAAAATGGCCAACCAAAGAATCAGACGAGAGAAGTCTACTATGAAGATGAGAATGAGGATGATTGCTGGGGTAACAAGAAAGGATAAGGTGCGAAGTACAAGAATACTAGGAAGTTTAAAGGTAGTACACATTAAGACTAAAATAATGGTAAACAGACTTAGGTGCTATGGGCATACAATGAGAGAGCCTATGAACTACATAGGAAATAAGGTGAGGAAGTGATGGGTAAACGTAAAAGAGGAAGGCCAAAACTTCAATGGAGCTATAAAGTTAGAGCCAATATGTAGAAGTATAAATTAGACAAAAGAGATAGTATTATGAATAACATAAAGTGGAGAGAGATATTGAAGGAGCCTACCACCATAAGAGGTGAAAGTTAAAGAGAAAAAAAAATTAAAATTCTTTCAATTATTAAAAATCTTTTAAATTTACAATAAAATTTTTAATAATTAATTATTTCAAAAGATATTTTGCCTATAGTTGCAACTAATACGGCTATATTCGGATAAAATTTAAACCTTTTAGTCTATCTAATTTAAAAATAAGTTTAAGGAGGTTGCCAAGACCCGGGATTTACCTAACCTCAGTCTTCCCTAATAGTAGCCTAGAATTTTTTATAAATCAAGATATTGTAAGTTTTGATAACAAAAATTAATTGTATAATTATGCTTATGCTTTGCCTAGGTATAATATTTAATTTGAACAAAGGAGATTCAAACAAATATAATATCCAACTTGTTGAGGAGCTAAACCGATAAAATTATTAGGGTCTAATATGTCGTGTAAAGAATCTTTGATGGGTTCGAAATAAGGGTCTTCCTGTATGAGTGACATTAAGTTATTTTCTTTCCCGTGTAATTTGACGTTAGCGGCAGCTTCTTGGGACAACACTCTTATTTTTTCGTGACAATCCTAAACAAATTGGTTAAATTATCGGTAATTAATTAGAATACAATGGCGCCATTGTCCAAATTTTCGAAATGTCATATCTAGGTACTTCCATTAAAATGGGACAATTATTTGAACCCATATTTGATTAACACCCTAGCCTCATCTCACTTCTCATATATGCTAATTATTGGTATAAAATTAATTATTATAATCATTCTCAAAAATATACAATTTTTTTTAAGATAATCAAATTTATAATATTATTGAATAGGCAAAACTAACATATTATATAACCTGTCTATTTCCACCTCTTTTAACCATTTCCATAAGGATATTTTCCGTCGCCATAAAAGGTAACTCTTTGCGAATATTGGATTCTATCACCTATTTGATATAATAAATTTCACACTCAATTTTAAAAATTAAAAAGTAGTCAAAAAATATATAACCAATTTATGTTTCTTACAGGTTAATTTAAATTATATGGATCCATTATATAAATAATGCTTGGTAGGAGTTTTTTTTTATTCAAAACCAAATGAAATTTTTTTCATAAGCATATTAATTTATAAAAAATATAGTTTAAATTTTATATATTATTTGTTTATAATTTTATTTTTTTATCGATAGAAAGATTAAGAATATGACGCCATCTAGCTGAGAGAATACTGTTTTTTTAATTATTAATTCATATTTAGTAGGCAATAGATTATAAATAATTTTTTTATATGAATAAAATTTCTTATAGTTCGGATCAAATAAAAAGATAATTTGCATAATATAATATATTTTCAAGAACTATTTGTCTTTATAAAACAACCAAATTAAATATATTACATTTTATGAAAATCTTTTAAAAATTCACTAGAAATTTGGTTCAATAATTTATTTTACAGATTACAAATTTTTACATCCAACACTTATATCTTGGAATAAAAGTGCATTTTTTGCAAAATGAAATCAGTATTAATGAAAACTCCAATTTTTATACCAGCATTATCTTTTTCAAATCATTTCTCTCTAGCAACTTGTAATGTGTAATGATTAGTTGTGGAGGAGAGGGCAATTATTGATATAGGATTACTCTTGTATTAACCCTCTCTAACCAAGCCCTCAAAAAATCTCGAAATATACAGAAATTTTGAATGACTCCAAACTTACTACCTTGGTTAAATTCCTATTCTTCAAAAATCAAGGTTCTCAAATCAGCAAACTCACAGAGAACATCGAGAAGAATTTCTCAGATATTTGCTCAAATGGTAATCTACTTTCCAAAGAGCTGCCCTAGACTTTTTTTTACTTCTTATCTTCTCGCTTTGTACCATATTTTGTTCTTTTATAAGTTTTTTTTATATTTCTTTTAAATATTTCACATATTTTGTATATTCTATTTTAATATAGTTTATGTTATAATATATTTTTTAAATCATGCGAAAGAAAATAATAAAAGTATATTAGAGATCATTGGCGGTAGTATACTGCTTAAATTTTTGGTCTGATTTTTATAACGATTTTCTAGTTTGAAGCAAAAGGTCAATTGCACATCTCTTATTTTAAAAAAAAATAAATAATATTAACATATGGGATATCTTTTAAGATGCAGGGGTGGACTGGAAGACCAGGTGGGCATTTTGCCCACGAGGCCGCAAGAAAATGTTGATTTTTGAGCAGAGGTTCTCTTATCATTTATTTATTTTTAATAATATCTCTATGACTTGAATATCACATTCCTTGAGAATTGTCATATATTATATTGCATAAAATATCAATAATTTAGCTTGACGTTGTACATCATTACCACGTTTCTTGTTTTTTTTCAAATGAATGAAAACGCTTCCGTTTGATTAGAGTAGGCTAAGTTTTGATTTATTTATTATATTTTTATACATTGCTTTATTGTAAAAATAATATAGCCAACATTTCTTGTTCTTAATTCATTGAAATCAAATAAAATCCAAGTCGGTAAATAAGATAAAAGGAAGGATGCTTGGGTGAAACAGAATAATTTATTTGGCCAAAATAAGTTGAGAAGGCTGCAAAAAATAGGTTAGAGTGGGGCACGTGAAAAAGCCCTTAGATGGATATATGGTAAAGAGAGCATGCTCCCAATAACGATAATGCTTCAATTTATATTGGATACATAGGCGTAGCCAGGATTTTCCTAAGGGCGGCCCGCTTTTGCCCGGCCTTCGACCGGGTTAATTAGTCTATATATAGTCATAAAATATTTTTACAAGATATAAGGTTAATTTTAATAAGCCTGGAACAAATATGAATTTTATTAGTTTATATAAAATATATTTTTATTACTTTATATAAAATATATTTTTATTAGTTTATATAAAATATAATAAATCATTTGTATATACATTAACATAACATAAATGCATGGTAATAATTTATTCCAAACAAGTATAAGAAATTTATTTATAAAAAGTAAGTAGACATATAGTTGATATTCCTCTATTATATAGAATAAGTTACAAAATACTAAGTAAAATTCTACTTTTATAGATATATTTGATAGTTAGAGAATATATTACAGTTGATATTTTAACAAATTTTACTAATCAATACTCTTGATAAAATATATAGCAACAATTTGCATTCAATTATTTAACGCCATATATTTATTTTAAATAAAAAGATATTAAAAATTAATCTTCATATTATTCATCCCACAATGTCTTTAAAATATATTTTCTGATGTCCTTATCAATATTTTATAGTTTTCTGTGAAATATATAATTCGCTTATTGATAAAAATTACTTGATTGTCATATGATAATTGATAAATTAGATATTATAAATCTACGACATATAATATTCCACTGTTTGTAATGTGATTTAATTTTTTTATTTAATTTATGATTTAATTTTATCAATAGTTTTATAATTATATTTTACTTTATTAAGATAAATAAATAAAAATTACTCACTTTATAAATATTTTTATTTGATTATTATATTATTTAGTAATTTTATGGATCTATTATTAATAATAATAATTTTAACTTTTGTCTTAAGACTTATCTTTGACTTATATTCCATTTCTTAAAAAACATTTTTGGTTCACTTTTTTTATATATAAATGTTTTTTTCCAAAAATATATAAATTATGAAGAATAGTTTTATAAAAAATATAACAACTTTTACATTCTTTCTTTCAAATTATTGTTTAAGATATATGCATACATTTTTGGGGGTCAAGGAGTGGGGAGAGGACTAAGGGGGATATTTTTTATTAGCTTAAAATGATATTCACAAAAAGTGATAAATTTCTGAAAAGGGAATTTCCCTTGTCCTCCCCTGGCTACGCATATGATTGGATAATGAATCATTTGAAGCAAAAACTAGTTAATTTATGTAAATCTAAGACTCTAAGTACACCTATAATATATTTGGAAATTTTTGAAATAATGACGTCAATGTCATATCTTCAAACTAAAAATTAAGTACTATGTCCGCATGGAAAATGATAGAAGATGCTAAGTTTTCTATATCATCGATTATTACATCGATTCAAAATAATGCCTTCTAATTTAAATGAAACACTAACGTCCTCAGGAATCGATAGATTTTACAATATGATAATAATTCAGAGAGTGATAATAAATGTAACAAATGTTTAATATGCGGTATGAAATTCTTAAAAGATACAATATGCATACAAGTGACACTAATTTATTTTGCATATGAATACAACTTTGTCATTTACGCAGGTTAATTACGAGAGAACATTTAGTAAATTAAAAATTATAAAAATAAGCTGAGAGCTAGTAATGACCAAGAAAAATTAGAAGCGTTTTTAATGATGTCATTTTAACTAGAACTATTAGCGCAGATTGAACTAAAAGATATTCTTGTATATTTGCGCAAAGGTTCAAAGTTAATGAGAGATTTATTAACGTAAAAATTATATATTTTCTTTATTCTTTTATTTGGATCTTATTAATATCTATTTACAATATGATCGGTGCCTAAGTGCAGCAATTATATTCTCTGTAAAATTGTATAACTGCTATAATTTTATTCTCTGTAATATTGTATTAACTGCAATAATTTTATATGTGTAATTAATTGATTTGGTATATTGAGTATCTATTTTTTTTATATTTAACATGTGATGTATAATTTGATTTTATAGTGAAATATCGTATCTAATATAAAATATATATGTGCAATGAATATTTTATAAAGTATTGAGTGTGATTTTAGATGTGCATTTTTTTTAAATAAAATATATGATTATCGTGTAATACTATTCCTTTTTTTATTAAAAATGAAAATCGTTTGAACTTATTTTCAAAAATAAGAAGTAATAAAAATCATGTAATCGAAGAAGCCATTTTAGGGAACTCGGTCGAAGACCGGGCAAAAGCGGGCCGAAGGCCCGCAAAATGAGGACATGGGGGCGAAGCTCCCATATAAATGAGGAGGCCGCTATAAAAAAAATGCCCACGAGGCCGTAGCGTTGCCAGTTCGCCCCTGTTAAGATGAATTGGTTTTTGCTTTATTCATCTGGTAAGAAAATAGCAGAAGCAAATAATTAAAATGATTTCCTAATGGAATAAATGTAATTAATTACAACAATTTAGGGGTCAAACAAAATCAAGAAAATTATATAAAAATTAATTTGCATGAGCGTAGAAAAATTAATAATAAATTCTAAATTCTAAATTCCAAGAATTTCTAATGTCAAAATATTATTTTTGAGGATAATAAAAATCAAGATATATTTGAATGATATCAATTTTTTTTATTAAGAAAATTGAGCCTGAAAAAAAATCTGTTACTAAATATTTTCTTTTATTGATTGACATAAATGTTTCATCGTTTCAAAACTTTTATCAATTAATTTTTTGACTTTACACGATGGTATTATATAAAATACGCTAAAAAACATTATTATATGGCGGGAAAATATTTATTCCCAGTAAATTCGTTTTTCTTGATTTTAATAATAAAGTCGTGAGGACTCAAGCTGATTTTTTAAAAAAATAAATTTAGAGAAGGTGTGGTTTATATTTTTTATCCTATATAATTGTTTTTAGATCTTGAACAATAAACAAAATGGCAGAGAATTGATAAAAAAAATGTTTCTTTTCTATCTTTATTGAATGCTTTTTTTATAAAAAAATAATTGCAATATAGATTTTTAATTTAAAATCATGCAGTATTTTTATTAAATCACTTAAATAAATAAATATCAATGATAAAAATAGACAATTTTTCCTAATTTGACTCCTAGAATTTCTAGTAATCCTCGAAAGCTAAAAATTCGAATAAGTCTTAGTTAAATTCACCTCATTTTGCTTATCAAAATTCGTTTAATAGAAGATGGTCATCCGAAAATTTCGTTTTTGAATGTCAGTTTATATGGAATGATCCATAGCAATAATATAGAGATAGCAGACGTGCCATTAAGAGTAAATATATTTAACAAGTCTTAAAAAAAGAATAAATAAAGATATATACGATTTGATGTATTTAAATTACTTTTTGGTAAACTTGCAATCCGTTTACAATGTTGTACAGGGATATCAAAATGGTATCACAGCAAAGAAAAGCTTGGGGTAGGCATAGTCGTCTATTTGAGCTATCGTCTAGAGTTCTCTCAAGCCACTGAACCGATCCCGTGCCGAGAGCGTCTTGAGAGAGGTTCATTAAAAAACGAGCTAGACCGCAACATCTTTCGCTCAACATTGGATTCCTTTTGTATGCCATGGCACTGGAGCCTAAAAAATGTCAGCGCGATATTTGATGTAGATAGTGATAATAAATAAATGGACGGGTTGGCAAATAGTTAAAATAAAGATAAAATTTGTGTTGGATATAAGTGTTCTAGAATAAGACAGCGTGAATTTCATTCGATTATTTATAAGCTATCCAAATTACTAATATTGTTAAAAGTTACTTTAGAAAATGAACTAGTTACCAATTACAAGTTACATCCTTAAAAAAATTAATTAATTGCATTTTTTTTCAGTAACCAGTTAGTTATTTCGCAAAAATGTAACTTGTTACCGAGTTGATTTAACAGCACAAATTACCTATTTGGTCTCTGGAACAAGGTTCTTCGATTTCTTTCATATGCGCCAGCAATCGTATGTCGGTACACATCTTAAAAAATAAATAATATAACATTAAAACACGCCAATAATATATGATTCAAAATCATGCGTCTTCTTCAATCCTTAGGTATAGTCAGTCTATTTGTTCAACAACGATAGTTGATTATCAGTAAGTCGTCCGATTCCAAGATAATCGGATTTATTATACATTTTCACCTTTTCATCTAACTTAATTATTTTTTATTTTATAAGCCTACATGTGAGCCTTCCAAGATAATCAGATTTATTATACATTTCCACCTATTCATCTACCTTAATTATTTTTTAAGTTATAAGCCTATATGTGAGCACTCCCACTCCCACAATTGATATTATATCCCATTTATCGTGACAAGATGGAGAAAGAAAGCTGAATCGAGAACTGTTTAAGCAGCACCATATCAAAAGCTTACGCAGGTTTATAAGCATGTTTTTATTACAAAATAATCTCAATAGTTCATTTCTCGGGATTTTTAAAGCTTTATTTAATCCAATTGTAATTTTGTACTCTAGCAAACTCTAGAGAATCTTCATTGTCTGTTCAATGAGTTTAGTTCCTCGGTATGACCCATATACTTATGGATTTCTTTCAAGTTAGCCATTACCATTGATATTGGGCCTTATGTTTCACCTTATTTAACACTTTCTTAGATACTATTTTAAATAAACAAATAGATCCAACATCAAACGGATCTTGGGAATGGTTGCAATAATTTAGATGTAAAAGTAGACATAAACAGAGGTTAGCACAGTTGATACAAGAGGTTGCATCATGGGATCTATTTCATGCCAATGATATTATAAATGATGGGGATAGATGGAACGTAATTGAAGGACAATATAACTAGTTGGAAGTAAAAGGTTTAAAAGTGAAAGAGTGAAGTACGAACCGAAATATCTAAAAGATAAAAATATATATTGATGATTCTCCGTATTATAAATGAGAAAAATGTAGGTGCGTTATTATTTCTATATCTTTAGAATTTTATAAAATAGCTGTATTACTTTATGTAGAGTTAAACCAAAACTAGCTAAGACGGACAAGCACTCATAATCTACTTTGCGACTGTAAGTTTGACCGCATATCATGTGATAACTATTAAAAAATAATATCATTTAAAGTAAATTTTTAATTGCCAAATATATTTTCCTAATAGCGATTTAAAAAAAAATAATCACATTTTATTTTTAGTAATATATTAAATAATCTATAATTAGCGAAATTTATACCATACCTTTCGAATCCGCATTCACGTGTAACCATTTCTTCGAGCGCTTCGACCTAAATTTTTTATAATACAATTCAATTCGTAAATAGGAGGCATAAGAAGTGTCAATTGTTTAATCCAAAACACCAAAAAAAAGATTTTAATATCTAAATATGAATAAGTTGCATTCATTAATCTTGATAAGATTTCTCATAAGTAGAAAGCCGGAAGAGTAATATTTCAAATTCATAACTTTAGAGTAAGTATTATTATATTATTATAAATATTCGGTCCGAAACTAGGCCTTGGTCTTAAAAAATCGGGCCGAGTAAAAAATTTTTAAAATTCTTTTTTTACAAAATAAAATTTATGATAAGGACACGGCGATTAGTAATTTTTTTTTGCCATCGGTATCAGTCGATACTTTCCATTTTAATCGATATCAGTGAGTGAGTGATATCTAAAATAAGCATTTTATAAGGAAAAAAATCGATCTTCAAATTTTAAAATGAAATAAGAAAGCGTTTAAAATATTTTAGGCTCAAATCATTTACAGAGTTTCAAATTCTCTTCAAAATTAAAAAAAATCTTCAAAGATTTTTATTCTCTGAAGACTTTTTAATATAACTTTTTTGAAAATGCGCTGACAGGATTATTTGATTAAATTTTACCTTAAATATTCAGATCCTTTTTTTGCAATATATCTTATGTAAGTGAACCCTTTGTGATTTTTATGTATAAAAAAAAATATTTCACGATAAAATCACAAAAAATTTGACTCAGAATTTAGAGCAATCTTTTTAAAAAACTCTGGTTTATTGAAAGGTTAATATTTGATTTTCAACTAATAACAATAGTTGAATAAATTTTAGCTATATCGGCTTAATCTACAGGCGCGTGCCGGAGAAAAGCCGTTAATATTAAGGCGTTTTAATTTATATTAGTTTTTTCCAAATTTTGACTCATATATTTTTACGAAAACCTCTGAGGCCAATGTGATATTTTTCGGCTAGCTAAAAATTGGCAACGACTAAAAAATAAAGTATTTACCCAACTATACTAAGTAATAAACGTCATCAAACGGATATTAATATAATTAAAAGCGCTAATTTCATTTCCAATTTTTCCCATTCTATAAAAAAAAATAGTATGCGGAAAATTAACTTTATTAACGAAGAATAAAGGGAAAAAATATATAAATTAAATTAAAAAATATATTTTCGTGGGAAGAAAAACTAGGGATAAATCTTATAGCTTTTTTTCTTCAAAACTTCGTATAAACTCTAGGTTTTTTTTTAAAAAAAATATACAAATTTCATTTTTAAAAAAATACTTGGAATGTATTGTGTATTGATAAAAAAAAATTATATCGATGAGTCTGATTTTTAATTCATTTATCTCCATAAAAAAAAATTATTCTTACAAACTAAAAATTCCAAGCCGGGCTGGGATCAAGATTAAATTTTGGGCAGGGGTTATAAACTGATAATAAATAAATTTCGGACCAGGGCAAGCTGGACCGAAAAAAAAATTGAACTTGTAAGGACAAAAATAAATCTAACTTTATTAGCATCTCCGTTGAATAGATGCAGGAAAGAAGCTTGGGTACCGGTTGTCCCTTTGACGCCCCTGAATCTGAGAGAATTTTTAAAACGCAAAAAGTTTTTGAAATCTTGAGACAAGTCGCTCAACCATAAGCAGGCTCTTTTGCCGACAGTTGTTAATTGGGCAGGTCTTTTTTTTATATAGCAATTTTATAAATCATTATAACGGAAATGGATGAGTGGGGGGGGAGGGTATTGATAATGATGAGGGTGCAGCCTGAGAATGACAGAGAGAAAAGGAATACAGGTTTTAGAACTGAAACTTACTTACGAATGGTAGGGAGAATTTTACTACATATGTTATGCTCTTATTATTTCTTTCTTTCTATAAACAGATATGCACCGATAAAACTTTTCTTTTGTCGATTCCGATATTATGTTATAATAGAAGAAAAAAAACTTAGAAATTTGAGATTTTATTTCTCCCTAAAATATAAAAATATATAATTAAAATTTTTTAATTACATGCAGGATGATTGATTACCTTTTTTCATTAAAAAATTTATTCAGCTACACATTCAGAGGAATAAATAATTTGAATATAGGCTCATGGTATTGACAAAATATTAAAAAGTATCTGTAGATACCGGCCCTGACTATGAGGGATAGATGCATTTCTGTAGTTCTATAAGGTAAGATACTTAACAAAATTTTAATATTGCTATGTTTTCCCTGCATTTGCATTATTTATTAAATTATAGGATGATTCAAAAGTATATAAAATAATTCAAAGAATTTTTTTTTAAAAGTGTCATGGCGTAATATTTACTGAAAATGAGTGAATCCCAGAGTAGGGAAAAATTTCCAAGAATCGGCGAATAACGCGAGGGCATTGATGCACGCTCCCAGCTGTACAGATAATTTTAAAAAATGTATATATTCATTATTGATTTACCTTGGGGATCAATGACTCGAATGCTTCTTTCATTATTATCAAATCCTAAAAAAATATATATAATAATAAAATTAGCTAATAGTTTATTATATTGTTTACAATTATTGGATAACGTTCTATAATAGAAGAAATATTTATTTTTCTATGTATTGTCCAAAGTCAAAATTTCATTTTTCAAAAAAAAAATAATTTATTTTTGAAATTTAAGAAATCGAGTTAGGAAGCATAATGTATAAATGCGAGAATCATTTTTTTTTGAAAAATTTTTTGACTTTGGACATACCCTTACTTTGTTTATAGAATTCTGGCCTGAATGAAAACCCGCATATCATTAAAACTGATCACCTCGAATGTGTTTAAACTCAGTGTATCATTTTCAAAACAGAGGTGCTAAGAGTATCATTTATTTTACGAATTATCTTACATCCTAAATAATAGATTAGATGGGAAAAAAATTAAATATAATGTGAAAAAGACAAGTTGACTTGAGAAACCCCAAATTAAATGTGGTATATCTCAGAATTGGATTAATTTAAAGCCTATATATTTTAAACATATTAAAATAAACTGTTTTAAGTGATTGTGCAAGTATTATTTTATAATTTTATGACAATTTTACCAGTCAAATTTTTTTCTTCTAAATCTGGCACATGAGTTAAATTCCATAATGATATATTTTATATAATGGAGGTGGGTGGTAGGGGATAACCCCCCACCCTTACAAAAATTTAGATACCTAAAATATTTTTCAAAAATATAGGAATCTTAGTTATATGGCATATATATACATATTCCAATTAATATTTATTTATCATCATAGCAGAAATAAATATACGATACTAATTTATTTTATGAATTAATAGAGATTTTTAATTTTTTTTAGCGTTAAATTTATCAACCATTTTTAATGTTCCCATTAAATAATTTGCAACCTTTTTCACTGCAAAAACTATCGTAAAATATTTTAAAAAAATGATGATTTGATTCATGAGAATAACTGAAGACTAGTGTTGTTAAATGGCTTGATTTGAATCGATGTTAAAAACGGCTAACTAAATATTTTTAGCCAGAAAAATATTGCCTATGCCTAAATTTGGCTAATAGCAAAATTTTAAGATTGCGTAATATTTTTCTGGCTAATATATTGAGTTAACCTTTATTAAAAATCAGCTCAAATCTAGCCATTTAACAACACTGAAAGCATTATATTGTAACTTAAGAAAATTGGTGCATAAGTAGATAACGTAGTTAAATGTCATTGACTCAAAAGCAGAGCTCAATAAATTTATTATTTTTCCTCGAATAGCAGCAAGGCAGGCTCATCGTTCCAATATTTATTATATAGAGTCAGTTGAAGAACACTATAAAATAAATCTCTTTATCTTCCTCTTGCGGATACTTATATAACTCAAATGAATTAAAGGTTCTTGATTAGACATGCAGCACTTACAAATCCGCAAATATTATTACCGCAAAATTCTTTCGAATCTTAAAACTTGAAAGAGGACAAATTAAATATTTGACAGATTTTTATTATGGAGAATGTTAAAGTATCCCATGATGCATTACTAGCTGAATGCAAACATGATATAAATGGTTAAATATGATGATAATGCTCCAAAAATGTTATAGAAGTAGGTGTTGTTAAATGGCTCGATTTGCGCCTATTTTTAAAAAAGGGCTAACTCAATATTTTAGCCAAAAAAAATATTGCTCAAAACTAGAGATTTCGTTAATATGTCCAAAGATTTGTGCCATCTATGAGTTAAATGTTCAGGCCTGGGTAATATTTTGTTTTATTGGATAAAATATTAAGTTAGCTGTTTTTAAAAATCGCTTCAAATCGAGTCGTTTAACAATACTAGGTGAGAGATTATGATTTATTCTTAAGCTTGTGTTCACATTGGAGAAGCAGATAAAGAAATGTTATTAAAGTTAGATTCAAAGGTCGTTAAAAAAAATGCTCCTGATTTGATAAAGGATTTAATAAAAGTATTTATGATTTTAGTTTAAAAAAAAATACAACAATTTTACACCAGGGTCATTCCATGTCAAATGAGCAAGAAAATCGAGATTTTCGGCTGACCGCTTTCAATGTTTTAGTTATATCAATAACAAAATTTTAGCTTATTAACAATTATATTACCGAGAATTTATGGAGATTAAAAATACAAATCGGCTTTTTTAAACCTTTTACGATGTTAAATAATTAGTTATAAATTAAAAGCTAAATAAGTTCGAATATTGACTATATTAATAAAGCTAATAATTAATAATGATGACGATAGCATCAAAATTAAATTTTTTAAATATTGGTCATCTTATGTACATGATGGTATCACGTCACTTCAGCGCGGAAAATTCGGCGCACGACAATTCAGCACAGCATCAATTCGGCGCGGCGACATTTCAGCGCACGTCAATTCGGCGCGGCGATAATTCAGCGCAACGTCACGGCGCAACGTCAATTCGGCGCGGCGACAATTCAGCGTGTATCTATTACAGTAGCAATTTATTATATATTACTTAGTATAAAAAAAATAAGGTTAATTAAATAGAAATCATTTTGAATTTGGTCCTTTTAATTATTTCTTCATATTTATTTTTACAAAAATCTCAATTTTATTTACTAAATGTGTAATATCAAAAAAAATTAACAACCAATATTTATACCTATTTCTTTGGTTGACCAATTTACCACATAAGGTATATTAATTAGTAGCCAATGTTATGTAAGCCGAGATTTTGGGCATAGAAGAAAGAAAGAAAAAGAAAGTGGATCTCTATCTCAAATCTTACATATTATTTTGGCTGGAATTTAAATAGACCGTTTTTAAAACTAGACCCAGCCATGATCCAAAAAAAATCAAATTAAGACTGATTCACTTTTTAGATTTATTAAAAATCCTTAAATTCTATTAATCCTTTTTAAAAAAAATATTATGCTTAGGCTAATTTTTTCTTTTATATAAATCAAAAATTAAATGTGTAATATCAAAAAAATTTACAACCAATATTTATACCTATTTCTTTGGTTGACCAATTTATCACATAAGGTATGTTGATTAGTAGCCAATGTTATGTAAGCCGAGATTTTGGGTATATAATTTATCAGGGGGGTATATTCTTTTTTAAACTTTTATAATTTTATTTATTTATTTTTATTGTATAAAATTAGGCGTGAAAAGGGGATTTAAGATTTCACATTATAGTACTTATCAGGGGGGTATTCTGGGTATATTTTTAAAAACGGTTGATTAAGATTGTAGCCAAAATAATATATAAGATTAGAGATAGAGGTCAAATCTTTCTTTTTCTTTCTTCCTTCTATGCGCAAAATCTCCAGGCTTACATAATATTGGCTACTAATCAACATATAATGTGGTAAAATGGTCCATTAAAGAAATAGGTATAAATATTAGTTAATTTTTTTTGATATATATTTAGTAAATAAAATTGAGATTTTTGTAAAAATAAATATAAAGAAATAATTGATAATACCAAAATTCAAATTCTATTTAATCATCCTTATATTTTTATACTAAGTAATTTATAATAAATTACAACTGTAATAAATACGCGCCAAATTGTCGTCGCGCTGAATTGTCGCCGAGCCGAATTGACGACATTAGAAATTTAAAAATTAATATTTCAAATATATTATGAGCTCATTTTCCAAATTTTTTACTTTCTATTACTCTTTTACAACTTTTCTAATAATTCTCTGATAATTATCGTGAATGGGTAATTATAAATAAAACAAATAAGTTATAAGAAAAGTATAGATGGCGCTATATATGAACATTTCGATGCAATAATAGGCTCATCCTTTTAAATCAATAATGGCTTTATAATTGATTTACAAGTAATCTCAAGTATATTGAAGAAAATTTTTTATAAAATTTTATTTTCTTGTAATTTACATTATATTGCTCGTATATAAATTTTAATGCCTTAAAATGATTTTAAACGATAAAAAAACGAATTTTATTGGATTGAAATCTTCACAATAACAATATCTATACGTTTTTTTTACATAAGTCTTATTTTTTTTAAATAATTATACAGTCACGTTAATTATTAAAGAAATCATAAGAAAAATAGTAAATAAAAATTTGAAAAAATTGGGGTTTATAATATATTGGAAAATTTTAAATCCTAACTATAATGAAATGTCCCACCAATATATTACAATGATAATAATTTTGAGAAAGAGATTCCTATATTTAGATTGCCTGAATTTATGCAAAATTTTAATTAAATTTGTAAAAAAAAATAATATCGATAACACAATAAAATTATGATTATTTTATAATTGATTAACAACTAAAATATACATTTTTTTGCAAAATAGACATAAAAAGTACCAAATAATGTATATTTTGTTCTTTGAGGTTAATTTTTTTATAAAACAACTTTTGAATTAAATTTAAAATTAGAGATAGGAGCAGTTAATCAATATTTATTTTATATAAGATCCAGTTAATAGTTACCAGCAAATATTTTCTAATTTAATGTATAAATTAATTTAAGCCAACAATATTTTTTGAGATGATCTGTGTATTCCCACTATATATGGCCTAGTGTTCATTTGCATTTTAAAAAAATGAGTTTTATTCATATTTTCTTGTAAAAATAATGTTACATATAGCCACATTAAATAAAAACTAAATAAAGTTATTAAAGTAATTTTAATAATAGTATTTTTTACTGAATTATCCCCCACAAAACAAGAAGTAGTGCCAAGATGTATTATAGGTGCAGCTTTTGGACATTGGTAGCCAAATGTTTTAACATGAGCCATTACATCATGTTTAACCTTAATTTCTTCTTGTGACGCATAATCAAAATCAATGTCAGACACTTTCTTTTCCATTTCATCTATCTGATCTTGAGTTATATGAAGACCTAGTTCCTTAGGATTATATAGCTTTAGTTATTAAGGTAAATAACCTTTTCACATTTTGCTAATATTATCCATAACCGTCTCCAAGTTGAAAATTTTTTATGATCGCTAAATAAATAAAGAAATTCTTTGCTAGCATAACGTGAACTAAAGGGACTCTGATAAACATATCGGTCTATAGACATTTTAATGCTTAACGGGTTGGTATGAAAAAATTAAATTTTGAACCTAATGAACCTAGCTGAGAAAGGTTATGAGAGCAAAACCCTAAAACCTCAAATATATTAGAGTTTTTATTAAAATAGGCCGATTGACATTTGTTAGATTTGAAAAACTACTAAAGCACGTATAGTGAGATATTTAAATTTCTAACATATAAGATGCATTAGATATATTATTTTATATTTTAAATTTTCAAATTATTCATAAATAATAATTATTGCTTGGTAAACTAATGGTATAATATTTACTTTAATACTTTACATAAACCTTAAATATTACTTTATTAAAATTAACTAACTCTTTCAATTAATAGTTAAGCATAAAATTTAATGACATTTGAAATTTTTATTTTTATTTCTCATTTTAATTACCAAAAAATTATAATCTATCTTTCTTCTTATAATGCACTATCAGTGATATACAACTTTTAGAAAATATTAATTAAATTCTTAACCCTAAATAAAGATGTCCAATGTCTTAAATTTCACCTTACGTGATTGTACTAGACACAAATGTAAGTTCTTAATCTACTTTTAATAAATAGGATAATTTCACATATTACATACTTTAATTCACACAACATTTATTTATTTATACAATTATCATCATTCATAAGGCAAGATATAAAATATTATATAAATCTTTTTATATTATATATAATCATTATAAATATCTAATTAACGAATATACTAATTAATTCATAATATTTAAATAATATAATATCATATATTCCTACATATATTTCTATATTATTTAAATATGTATTATATTGAAATTATACATGTAATTTATACATACAATACTACATATAACATTTCTCTCTCCTCCTTATTCTTTGACACCTCCAAGCCTAATGTTATTACTCAAATCCCTAAAGATGCTTGTTTAATGGTGGCTAAATTTTTCTGTGATTGCATTTACTCCCTCTTGCATAATTACAATGAAAAGAAATGGCTCAGATTTTTTTTATGGCTTTAATATTTTCAAAGTACCTGACAAATCTTTACCAAATCTTTAACTCTACAAATTAAAGATGCCGCTCTTAGCAAAGATTCTTGCCCTCTTGGTGAACCTCTTCCATGTTTAACATCGTGTGGTGATATTTTATCTTCCAATTATTGTTCAAAAAAATATAACTTCTCCCTTAGTGATCAAAGCCAAACTTATATCTAAAAAATTGATAAGAGCTTAGGTTAGCGTGTATTTATGATTCACTAACCGATGTCTCTCATGATATCTATATCAGCGTCAAACATCCTAACTCTACCATCAATCCTATTTATCCTCTTCCATACTCCATACGCGCGACTGATTTAACAAAGGAAGAAGTTAGAGAAGCCATTCTTACATTCTAACGTGATTTCGCCCAAGGACTGGGTGGAATTCGCCTGTATATCTTTCCATTAATATGTTCCCATTCTCCAATCATCTTGCATACTTACTTCTGCGATAAAATTTTGACCGCTGAAGTTTCAATTTTTGCGTCTATACTTTTTGGCACACGGCTCATTTCTGCAAAAACTTAATAAGGGTATCAAGCCAATGCTATGCCTTCTTCTTTTATGCATCTTGTTGTCAAAATGATTTCCTCAAAATTTAAGCATGATGTTGTCAGTTGTAGGTGGTTATAAAGCTGCGGTACACAGCTCATATTTAGCCTTTAATACTCTCTCTGGGTATTCTTTCTTGAAGAAATCTTCGAACACTCTTTTCCTTGGATATAGTAAATTTTTCTATTCCTGATTTATATATCCTTCCACTATACAATTCAATTCATATAAAATTTCTTTTGTAGAAGGGAATCAACAAGGTAATCCTCTTGGCCCATTGCTATTTTGTCTCGGATCAACTATATGATCAGGGCAATCAATGCCTCCTGCTCTTTTTTTTCTCCGTGTCTGGTACATATATGCTGGTATAATATCTGGCTTATCTGATGAGGTTGATAAAGCGATAGATATAACTTAAGAGATCGGCTCTTCCTTAAGTTTAATTCTCAATTAAAGGAAATCAGAATTCATCCAGTTAAATAGTTCCGAAATTAACTCCCACAATTTTAAGTCATTAATCAAGATCAACTAATTCATTTAGGATTCTCGGTTTGTGGCAACTCAGATGTTTACTCTTATCAAATTTAGTGATATCCATCCACTTTCCATTCATAAGTCGTTTTTCCCATTGAAGAACGTTTTCAATATACCATGCATTCTTTACGGTTTAAGGATTACACCTGTATTTAAATATCCTGGTCCTTGATAATAGAAACGGGAATCAAGGAACTAACTTAAGGAATCCTAAAACATAAGTCCGGAAAAATAGCTTGGTCTGAAGCTTCAAACCTATTCTTACATGTCACTCTCGTGTGGGCAATTCGTCGTACACTGAGGCATTAGATCTATGGAGATCTCGAATTCTTGTTGGCATCTCTTTACCTGTCACTTGAAAACATAAGAAATGGGACATCAAGGCTGTTGCTTGCGGAGTCAAAATTCTATTATGAATCAAGCAACACCTAGATCGCCCTCTCTTTTAGTCACTGCTAAATGGCTTTGGGCAGGAGTTCCTCAAGACTATTACTTCTTATAATCTTTAATTATAAATCACCAAAAAACGAACTCACTAATGCCACTGCATTAGTATCCGTTTCAATTGCTCAATTACCCAATCTTACCTTTGTTCTAAATGTTATGCTCCTGTTTACTCGAAGATACTACATGGCCTGCATTGCCGTTCATTCAAAGGACGTATTCCTAAACATAATCATTGTAATTCCATTATTCAACATGCTATTAAATCTGAGATATTCCATTGATCCTAGAACCAAGTGGTCTTCTTAAATCTGATTGAAAACATCCAGATGGTATTACCCAAATTCCTTGGAAGAGAGGTCAATTTCTAGTTTTGGCCTATTCCTGTATTGATCCCCAAGCCCCTACAAATCTTGGCTCAAAAAGTGCTATACAAAATTAAAAAATATTTGGATATGTTCACTGAGCCTTATTTGGTAGCCGTGCTTTAACCTCCTTCAGGTAATCTCGGATATCTTATTCGTAAACTCACTGATGAACCTATAGAGGGTTCTTACCTTATGCAAAGTATTGGGAAAAGTTGAGTAGAATAAGGTTTCAGGATGGGAAGGTGGGTGTACAGCATGAAGATCATGTACGTAGAGGAATGGTCCCCAGAAAGCAACAATGTTGGAGCTGGAGGTCAGGAGGTTAGTTAAATTTTTTATTAGGTTAAGGTCACTACACGACAGATGAACATGTGGTCTTCCCCAAAAGGGTAAGAAGGTAATGTAGTATTTTCGGCGTGTGTCATATACGAAATGGTAGAGTATTTTTAGCGTGTGTCGCATAAGTGGGAAGATGTTTCCAGTGGGAGTCAGAAGATTTTTTTGTATAATAAAATATAAAAAAAGGAAAGTAATTATTTAATGTTCACGGTAACTCATAGAAGAAGAAGGAAGAAGAACGGTAATTATGAAAATATGGTGGAACAAACAATGGTCAAGGGTGTCCACTGACAACAACAACAACTTGGCAAAGGATGGAAAAAGAATTCCACAAGAGGTGTTCAAAGAGTTGTTGGGACCTCAAGGAATGGACAAACAGGGAAAGTATCATAGTTGAGTGTAAACATTTGTAGAATCATTCTGTGTAAAATTAAATTATATTTTAGATATTTATAAAATTTGATTTTTGTGAAGTCATTATGTATTACAATTTTTTGGTCATTTTTATTTTAAATAATTTTATTATTAGTGATAATTATGATTTCTAAGCATGATTATGGTATTTAAAGTTTTTAAAATATTTTTATCTTATTGTTTTGGATTATTTTTTACAATTAGTAGCTTCCATATAAAAGGAATGCAAAAATGTAAAATTAATTCAATTTTTTATCTTTTTAAAATTATTATTAGAATTTAATAAAGGTCGTTTTAATAAGAGATCATTAATATTTTTCTGTGATTGTTTTGGGAGTTCATTCTGGAGAAAGGGCGGACATCCAGGTGCATTGACCATAAATAAGGTTTAAACCAATTCTTTTGATATTCTATATTTTTTACGGAAATATTTTGGAACACTGTGATTATTGAACGTGATTGTGAAACAGTTGATCGTGATTATTGGAAATGGTAGTAAAAAATTGCGAAACATTTAACCGTGATTATTGAAAATGGAAGTGAAAAATTGTGAAACAGTTGACCGTGATTATTGGAGGTGGTAGTGAAAAAGTTTGAAGTTGTTGACCGTGATTAATGGAAGTTGGTGGTGAAGTGATGTATTGTTGTATCATTTTAGTGTTAATTTTATTAATTATATCGTATTGTTTAACGTTACAAGTAGTTAAAATATTTTTAGTAAAGTTATTTATTAATTTTTGATAAATAATATTTAAAAATGTTTTTAAAAATATTTAGTGCGAAATTAAATTATTTCTATATAAATTAGCAAAAAATCTCTGGTATTTAAATATATCATAACTTCAATGAAGAGCTTTAAAATAATTAAATATGTCGAGGTACAGTATAATATACTATGAGCAGTGGTGGTGTTGCTGATTTAGTTAAGATGTCTATATTTTGGCAGGGATCGCCAAAACTGAAGTGTTAGAATATTGGGAAAGTCGTTGTTGATTGAAGGACACAATGGCCCTGAGGATGGATATAAAAGGGTAACGTGGTGCCTGTGCACAAGATGTTGCATTAGCAAGTAATGAAGGTTTAAATGAGTTAAAATGGGAAAGGTGGTAAAGATAGAAGAATGGAGATTAGGTTGTAGAAAGTCGTCAAGGTGGTTTAGAACGGAAGGTAATAGGTATAGAGGTATTGTTTGTTTTAAATGTGGTTTCAGGGGAGCTATGAATTGTAGAGATAATAAATGTTTTAAATGTGGATAAAGGGGACATATTTCAACGTATTGTCCGCGTAAAAGAAATAGAATAAGATGCCCTAAATGTGGAAGGTTGGG